TATTTGAACTTTATATAAATAACTTTTTCAACCTCTTTGCTATTCTATTCGCAATAAGCGTATATAAAAGTTAAAAACATGATAATAATCATATCATGGCTTGCTTTCTTCAATCATGAAATTTGACGCATGATTTCCACAATCATAGAATATTTTTAGTTTTGGTACAATGATAGATTGATAGATTCTAGCTTTTATTTATTTTATTAATGCAAATATAGTAGTAGCACTTAATGCGAGGCACATTAATGTAGTCCCAAAAGAGCATACGTTTCCACATGCCAAGAATCTAAATTTTATGTCTTCATGTGCTAGCTCAATTGATTGTAAAAGTAAAATTTATTACAAGAGATTAAGGATTGAATTTCATTAATAAAAGTGTGGGAGCAAATCTTTCAAAATAAGGAGCTTTATGTACACAAAAGTAAAAGTCTACCATCTGTTGGTTAGTTGAGTATTATGCAAACTTGACTACTAAAATATGCACTTCACAGAATTTTTCAAGTTTGCACACTTGAGTTATTTGTCCTCTGGCTATTTTTAAAATTTCTCTATTGTTTGGATTTACAAGATATATTGATTGTAACATTGTTGTAGTCTTGACATCTTTTCAATGCTTCAGGTGTGGCACGATGTTCTATTGCCCTACATTAACATTTTTAATAATGAGTTTTAAGTAACTACGTAAGATAATGATATAATTACAATTTACATATTATTATCAGTATAAAAGCATACAAGTCGATTAGGTGTTCAACTCGAGGTACTTTTGGTTCTACCATTATTGTTGAATGAGATCTCATGGATAGAGAAATTCATAGTTTATTTCATGAATAAAATTAGATAAGGTAGTAAAATTTTATAAATGTTAAATCATCTTAATAAAAAAAATACGATTTACCTTTAAAGTGAACATCAGTGATGTAGTCCAGAGATATACGGGATACTTTTGTCGCTTCAATTTCTTGGGTTATTTGAAAATACCCTCTTTGTCTACAAATCATCCCCAAGTAGTTAATGGCCCTGTTTGGTAAAAAATTGGCCTATAGGCCAATTTTGGCTTATTTGACCACTATTAATTGTTTTATTTAGTTAAAATATCAATATTAATGTTTGGTTAATTAGCTTTTTGCAACTCCAAAAGGCTAAAATTCAAAAAAATACTCCAAGCAACTTTTTCAATTAGCTTTTTGAGAAAAGAAATTATACTAAACAACTATCAGCTAACAGCTAATTTACCAAACACTTTTCTACAATCAGCTAATGTTATCAACTATTTATACCCTCTAATTAACACAATCAGCTAACAGCAAACAGATATCAGCTAACAGCCATTTTACCAAACAGGGCCAATATGATTGACTTTAAACTGTTTTTATGATATTAATAAAATACTTAGTAAATAAATATATAACATTAATTATTTGAATTATAACTTTGATATTAAATTACAAGATATTTTAAAAACAAGACAATGGACAATGTAGCGAATATAATTAATGAATTTGAATGGAAGGAATTTTTGCATTGTAGAAATAAAGACAATACAACTAATGAAATTATATCTCTTTTTTTAAATTTTGAAAATGAATAAATTTTTTTTAATAAAGACATTATGGACATCTAATTCTAAATTTGAGGCACAACATTCTCTCCTTGCTACAGTAAATGCCACCCAAAAATCTTCCTGCACTGTTTCAGTTATCTATTTTGTTCCTAATACAGTACTAAATACAGATGATTAATTTGTTTTAAAAACAAAATATAGGAATCAGATAGGATTTCACCTGCATTCAAGACTCACAATTTTTAACATAATGTATATTTAATATATTAAAAAAATGTACATTGTATTCAGAAAAAATATATTATTTGAGTACTAAAAGTACATTATTTTGTATAATATATATTTAATACACACATAATGTACGTTTAGTATATTAAATTGTACTTTTTGTTATGATTTACCTAATATTATGTGGACCATGATTCATACAATAATTTGCCACACTTGCTCATGGCGAATTTATAATTATTAAAAGATTTGAATATCATAATAGTATAGGATACGTTAAGTGAACAAATATTATAATTAGAATGAAATTCAATAGTAGAGAACAAAAATTGTAACCAAACATGCACCACCTTAAAGTGCAGTACTGATAACAGCATTACATTACACCTTCCTATTTTAATTACTTTAGGAATAAGGTTCAAATTAGCTACTAAATGAAACATGAAAGTACAATTTAGTTACTAAATGAAATAAAAAATGTAATTAAGTCACTCAAAATTTTAAATGTATGTAATTTCACCTAATAGTAAGTTAACATCCATCTAGCAGTTACATGTTGACATGGACGATAACTTGGAATTTTTTTTAATAAAAAATTTCCTTTTCAAATAAAATATTTAAAAATATAATTACTAGTTGCATAAAATAAAAAATAAAAATTATATATATATATATATATATATATATATATATATATATATATATATATATATATATATATTATACTTAATATACTGCTAGGCATCAAACAAAGAGCTATTATTTGTAATAGCAATTTGGGACGAAGAACAGTAACAATGTGCTACTGTTTGCAACACTAAATTGTTGTTGTGAACAGTAGTTCGCTATTTGTAGTAACTTGTTGTTTAAAAAAAGAAAAAGAAAAAATATATTATGAATAAGAGTTTTGTGAAATTACGCAAGAAAAATGGTTTTCAAAAATAAAAGAAGAAATGGAAAGGAAATATAGAAAAAAAAAAAAAAATCAAGTCATCACCCACGTCAACATGCAACCTTTTAGATGAGGTGTTAACCTGCTATCAAGTAAAATTATATACATTTAAAGTGTTGAGTAGCCTAATTACACTTTTTTTATGGGCCAATCTAAACCCTTCCATTACTTTATTAAAGTGCAAAACATTTTATACAAATGCAACTAGTATTTTGAGATTGAGCATAATTAAGGTAGCTAGCTAGCGTATGAACTACAAGTTGCGTACATGTCGGCAGGGAACAAGGGAATAGAGCAGTGTAAGTGAAAAGGATAGATACTTCAACTATAATCATTAGTTTATCTGTCCACTCATGAAAAATTGATATGCTATCTCTACTGCCATTAATTATTACTATTAGTATTATTATTTTTTACATGAAAAAGTATTATTGACTGTGTTCAATAATAGAACCCAACCACACCTACTGTATATAGCCCTTCCACAACTCCCAATCAAAGCTCTCTTAATAGGAAAATAGCAACTAACCCGCACATGTTTAGCTTAATGATTCAGTAGACAGTATTTGAAAAAAGAGATCAATATTTGAATTTTAATGGCAATAGTATGGAGTTATACTTAAAGTGGGCAGATCCCTTGTATGCATCGACATTTTGTCATGTCTGTTGAGTCATTGAGTCACCGTGATTTACATCCTCACAAATGCTCTGTCAGATCAAAGTGTAGAGGTCCTTGGAGTTGGGAATCACAAATTAATTGATTAAAAACTTTTAAAAAAAATACTTTTCGAAATTAATGATTATTCAAACATATTAGGAAATATGTAGAAATTAAAATGGAAGTACTTATACTAAAGTATCTCAAAAAGTAGTATTTCACCTTTCAAAATGTGTCAATGTGAGATTATATATTTGTAGAAGCAACCAATAAAGTATACATATATTTCCATGCGTTGGAATAAGTGAATTGAATAAGAATATTAGGTGGAGAAGTTGGCAAAGCTTTCATGATATACAAGTTTTGAAAGAGAAATGTTTCTCTTTTTTGTTTTGTTTTTTTTTTTATTTTTTATTTTTTATTTTTAAACTTGAAACAATAATTGAGTATATATAATATTGCTGATTAATAAAATGTATTTAATTTTATGATGGATAATATATAGTTCTAATTATACTTATTTTTTAATATTATCAACTCTATTATAGTGTATTATGGATCATGTGACCTTCACTCAAAGAGAACCACAAAAATGCCAATTGAGTACAAGGTGCTTGTCAATAATTATATCAAAAAAAATTACTCACAAATAATGAGACTAGAATACTACTTTCCCCTCACAATAATAAGGATGAAAAATATGACCATTATTCAAATTTAATAATTTTTAAGATATGGTATTGGAATTTTACAAACTAGGAATGGTATTTTAATTAATTTTTAAATGTTCTTCTTCCCTTAAATATTGTCAATACAATTCAAATCATATCATTTATAACAAAGGAATAATGTTCAATTGGGTCATCCAAATTATTGGACCATCCAACTCAAAAAGTTATAATTGGGTCTCTGAACAATCCAAAAGTATTTAATTGAACCAAAATTGACATGTTCTTCCGATTATTTTTGACGTGACGTTCATCTCAATAAAAAATATTATTTTAATAATTTCAAATAATATATATATATATATATATATTATTTGAAATTATTAAAATAATATTTTTTATTGAGAGGAAGGGGTGAGGTTTATATATATATATATATATATATATATATATATATATATATATATATATATATATATATATAAACCTCACCCCTTCCTGTCTTTATCTTCGCTTGGTCTTTGTCTCCGACCAGAGAAGAAAAAAACATTTTTATATCCGGCTTGGAGACAAAGAGAAACTCTTGATTTTTAACCCGAGACAACAAAGAATACGTCTTCATCTCTGGTGGCGAAGATGAACTAGGGGAGGGGTGGAGTTTATTTATTTATTATTTTATTTTATTTCAAATTATTTGACAATTATATTATACTATCATCTCGTTAATATATATATATAAACATTAACATTATGTAAGAATGTCTACTACATGTATTTCAGGCAAGGAATAATTGTAACATTTGTCCTCTTGGAGCACAGGAGTAAATAAGTTGGGCAAGCTAGGATTTGGCGGACAATATTATAAGAATATAGTAATATAGTATAGTATACAAAGCGGTGTTCACAGTGAGCATGGCCTAATAATTGTAGCCCGCCCTACTTATTATTCTGCCATTTCTTTGCTGCCTTTTGCTTTTCGTTCAATCTCCATTCCATCTCTCTCTCTCTCTCACACACACACACATTATCTTCACTTTTTGGATGTTCACTGTATTTGCAGGGTTCTACTTACTATCTGTCTCCTGCTTCTTCTAGGGTTTTCTTCTTTCAACCACCTTCCCAGTATATATCTCTCACACTTTATATATATACTCACAAAATTCCAGTCGTCTTTCTTAGCTAATGGATGCAAAAGTTGTGAATTGAAGCTTGAAGAATGAAGGGAGACAGCTTGGGAAATTCAACCGGGAAACCCACAGATTAAAGGTATAGTACTTGTTGATAAAGAAAGTCGATTCTTTTTTCTTATCTTAAATATTGTGTGCCTACTGAATCAGTAAGCTAAACTCAGCTCGTGCGGGCAAATCGAGTCTATTTTGGTCCTGGGCGGAATTGGACATTGGTGAGATAGAATAGAATTCTTAGAGCCAATTCTTGATTATTAATTGGATGGGTACAAATTATTATATATATTGAATGAGCAAATAATAGCTTATTGGGTTAATAGTTTTGGTAAAGAAACATCAATTAATATAATCGATCTCGATAACCCAACGAGATAGCTCAAATGGCAAATAAACTCTCTTTGTAACACAAAATTTTGGGAGAATCCTAGTTCGGTTCTCCCTGAACCAGCTTCCGTGTCTCTAGAAGCGAGTGGGTATTAGTCGGGTGAACCGTAAAACGAACGGGAAAAGATCCAGAACACGTGGTGGTTTACACCAAAAAGAAAATAATCGATCCCAATGAAAGCTAAGGGTTGAGTAGTGAGTTTAGGGTAGTAGTAGGAAAAGTCTAGTTTTACGGAAATTTGCAGGTGGAATGTCGGATGGTTTGTGCTTTGTTTTGAGACAGCAGAAACATAAAGGCTTAAACAGCGGAACTAATAAGTTCACATGCCTTATATAGCCCTCACCTGTTTAATTTGTACTACTGTGTTTAATTGTGCTCCTAGATATATTGATAACCTAGGTATATACGACAATGTCGTCCATGTTTATGTATGTGATCATCAAAATTTTCAATTTAAACTTCTGTCTATATATACCAAATTTAATGGAAAATTCAATTAACTAGCTAGAATTATTTGAATTTATTAATTAGATAGCAGTTTGCATTTGACACGATCCGAATTGAGTAATAACAAGTTTACTGATCAAATAATTTTATGAATTGGTATTGTATAGTATGTGATTGTATTCAATTATGATCTATCGTGTAATATTTCTTTTTGTGCATGTTATAAGCAATCTAGATTGATTATATTGATCGATCCGGACGAGATGTCGTCTTCGAGCAGTAGCTATTCCAACCCGCCATGTGCCGCGTGCAAGTTCCTGAGGCGAAGATGCCAGCCGGGCTGCGTCTTCGCGCCCTACTTCCCTCCAGAGGAGCCACAGAAGTTTGCGAACGTGCACAAAATCTTCGGGGCGAGCAACGTGAGCAAACTCCTGAACGAAATCCAGCCTCACCAGAGAGAAGACGCGGTGAACTCTCTGGCCTATGAAGCCGAGGCGCGGCTCAAGGACCCCGTGTACGGGTGCGTTGGGGCTATCTCGGTCCTCCAGAGGCAAGTCCTCCGGTTGCAGAAGGAGCTGGACGCGACCAACGCGGATTTAATGCGATACGCTCGCAACGAAATGTCCTCGTGCGGGCATGGATATCACCCCACTCCAGATGACAATAACAACATGAATAGTTATCAAATGTATAATCAACAAAGGAGCAGCAGCAGCCAGTATGGGAGATCCGTTTATGGCCAATCTTATGGAATGCCCAATTATTCTTCTCAGTGGACTAACAGTTCTTCTGGAGACCATAACCCAGAGGGTGATTGAATTATATTGTTCCGTGTAAGCTAAGCTTCTATTTGGCTTAGGCAACTTAATAACCTTAATTAAGGTTAAATAAGCTAAGCTAGCTAGGTATGCAAATTTACATGCATGTCTAAACTGGATGGCATCACTGCAGAGATGATGAACAATATATATAATATAATATGATATATTGTTTCCGTATGTAATTAATTAAATGTAGCACCTCCACTTTTAAGGAGCTGAACTAATCAGTTATTGTAATTGGTTGTGAATGTGTTGGAAGTTCTTATTATATAGTACAGTACACTTTTACTCTTCTCTCTCTCTCTCTCTCTCTCTCTCTCTCTATATATATATATATATATATATATATATATATATATATATATATATATATATATATATATATATATATATATATAGGATCACATTCAAATGAGAACGGTACGCCCAAGAGAGAACTTAGAATGCATGACATCCGTCTACGTGTCCAGATCTAATGGATGAGAAATACTGATTTTTTTTAAAAAAAAACACGGTGTCGGTTTTGTAAATAATTGAACATCGAAGTGCAAGTAAAATGTATTACAAGTGCAAGTAGCATTTTCATATAGTTCACCGAAGTGCAAGTAAAATGTATTACCGATGCAAGTAAAATTAACACTGAGCATCAATACTAAGTGCACCTAACGTTATAACTAGTTGCACCTAACGTTATAATTAGTTGCACCTAAGTGCACGAATGTTAACAAGGTCAATTAATTGCACTTGTAAGTGAAAATAAATGCACTTGTAAGTGATTTTACTTGCACTTTTATTAAAATTATATCTGATTCATTGATTTGGATACGTGGACAGCTGTAAATCAGTAAATGGTTCTTTATTTCTCTCTTGGGCGGTTATTCTCATTAGAGTATTAAGAATAAGTGCAAATGGAAAAGAAATTGTTAAGAATAAGTATAATATATTTTGATAATTCTCCCAATAACATCTACAATTAAATTAAAGTTAAATTACATATAAAAAAACAGTGTACAATAAAATTAAAACTATTAAAAATTTAGATAACCTACCAATTTGTTCTTTATCATTCACACCACATGATATTAAAGCATCAAAAGCACAAAACATTAGCTTAGGAAAACCATACCTCTGGTGAGACTCCACAATTGTTAGATGATTAAACTTGATTATGTATCAATGTTGAGTCGTTTTGTATTTATAGAAGTTTGAAATCACCAGAAAGTTTTTCACTGCATACACTTTACCTTCTTTAACACAAATGCTAAATTTTGACACATATTCCTTTAGAATATTTGCATGAATGTACGTCCCTTTAAAAAAAAAAAAAAAAAAAAAAAAACAAAACAAAACAAAACAAAACAAAATGTAAAGGTTCTTCCCTAAAAGTACATACATAAATTAGTAGAATAAGAAGGACTTTACCTTAGTCATGAAATAGACATTCTTGACTCTTGATGACATTAATATTTCTACCTTCCGGCACTAGGCATGTATGTTCTTACCAAATGAAGCCTTATAGCCATTCTTGTATGATCTGGACAGATATTCTTTGCTAAAATGTAAATAATAAATAATCAATGTATCAATGCACAATCAAAATGTACATTTCGCCTATCCCAAAACGACGTTGCATCATTTGGGCAGAAAAATGCAATGATTTCATTGCCAAAAGTTATGGATTTATTATATAGGAAGATGTGTGTTTCATTCCATATACATAATCAGTTAGTCACAAATGCATAAATGAACATTGCATAGTGCATAAAAAGTGGTTGATATATATATATATATATATATATATATATATATATATGAACTGAAGTTGTTTTTTAAAATGAATTGGTCTGTACTAACTGGCAGGTACATGTCATGATTCCCCCTGAGTTTCTGATACCCAAAATCTGTTTAGAAAATTAGAGCTGCCCTCATGCTTCAAGGCAAGAAGAAACGACAGCCGGCCATCATTAAATTGAAGTGAAAAGCCTGATGATCCACTGTTGTCGTGTGTACACCACCTGACACTTGATTGTAGCAAACAAATTAAATCAAATGTATGTTTTGGAAATATCATTCATTCATTCTCACAAACACATTAATTTGAGCTCAACACTACACTGAGCCATTGAGTTACCGTGATTTACATTCTCCCAAATGTTCTATTAGAGTTAGGGTTGTGGATTCAATTTTTTGAGAGAAGGAAAGACTAATTATGACCCGCATAGGCAGCTTAAATTGTTCTCGATGGTAGATTGTGAGTAAGGAAACACTAATTGCACCGTACGAGCTTAATTCACTAATCCAGTAAGCAATAATTGAGGGAAGAGAATAATGTTTGAAATTCAGCAATGACAGTATGTGAGTTATGTCCAAAGTGGACAGATCTCCTGTGCGTAGCGGCATTTAATCATGTCGGTTGAGTCACTGAATTACCGTGATTTATATCATCTGAAATGCTCATCGGATTAGAATGTAAGAATCCTTAAAATTGGAGATTCAACCTTTTAAGAAAAGAAAAGACTAATTAATTATGACCGGCAGAGACATCTTAAATTGTTTGTAGATGGTAGGTTGTGGGCCCGCAATGAAAAACTAATTGTTACCCACAGGTAAGGTGAACCATATGCTTAATTTTTTTTTTTTTAATTTTGTTTTTAATACATTACCATATATGCTTAATAAAAACTAAAAAGTCGTAATCAATAATATAATGTTGTCAACGAACCGTATCCCCACTTTAGATTCAATGAACTAGCTTTCTAAATGTCTTGTATTCACCATTAAACATGTAACATGTCTGCATTCTGTAGAAAATATTAAAAAATTTAAGAGTGATCATTTCATTTTATAAATATATGTGGAGTTCATCCTTAATTTGAATCAGTCAAATTAAAGTAGATTCGAGTTATTTTAATTGAGATCGGACAAAAAATTTATAACATTATACGCTCAAAATTACTAATAAATCAATTCTCAAAGGGCACCATTTGAGTTAGAAAAATATAGATGAGTTTCTCCCGGGCTCAAAATGAGAAAATATAGGCCGTGTTTGGTAAAAAATTGGCCTATAGGCCAATTTTGGCTTTTTAATCACTATTAATTGTTTGATTTAGTTAAAATATCAATATAAATATTTGGTTAATTAGCTTTTTGTAACTTCAAAAGGCTAAAATTCAAAAAGTTACTCCAAGCAACTTTTTCAATTAGCTTTTTGAGAAAAGAAATTATACCAAACAGCTATTAGCTAACAGGTAATTTACCAAACACTTTTCTACAATCAGCTAATGTTATCAACTATTTATACTCTCTAATTAACACAATCAGCTAACAGTAAACAGCTATTAGCTAACAATCATTTTACCAAACAGGGCCATAATAAATTAATTATTAACCGTACCCCCTTAATAGGTTAGTAAATTAATAATAATATATCTTAGCTGCTATACTAGTCTGTTGTAGTACATACATGATTATTTGAGAATTGAAGGAGGAGATGTGTACAGTTGATTGTGCCCCCACCAAAAGGGGAAAGAAACATACATAACCTCAGTTCGTTGGTGTGAGTTGATATGTATTAAGTTTCAACCATGGAATTGAAGCTTTCGGTCATATATCTATCTGATCTGATATGAGTGGCTGGCCTGTTGTTATTATCAGATCAGAGGAGTCAAAAGCTTTTTAGGATTTGAGTGGAATCATTAGTATGATATGGTGGCTGATGGATGGTATAGGTGGCGGAGGTCGGTGAAGGGTCAAATTCAACATCATGTGATTAAAAAATTGTTGGGGGGAGGTCTGAGGGTTCAAGTTTAACACTCAAATTTTGAAAAAATGTGGTGATATAAGGAAATAAAATTGTGTTTTCACTACTAGGGTTTGATCCTAACATCTGATATCACCTACCAGTTATCCTAACGCACACATACACAACTCCATCCCCTGATGGATGGTATACTGGACGGAGGTCGGTGAAGGGCCAAATTCAGTACCATGTGACTAAAGGATTGTTGGGTGGAAGTCTGAAAGTTTAAGTCCATCACCCTGATTTTGAAAAAATGTGATGATATAAGAAAATAAAGTTCTGTTTTCGCTACTAGGGTTTGATCCTAACAACTGATATCACCTACTAGCTATCCTAACACACACATATATAATCAAATGAAACTACCTCTTCAAAAATGCACAAAAGCTACTACACGAATGCATATATATAAACTAGATTGTGTACAACTCACTCAGCATAAATATATATAATATATCATATGTGCATTCGTGTAGTAACTTTTGTGCATTATATTCAGAAGGTCTCACAGAATAAGTGGATGCACTTGATCATTTGCGCATACATATGCGTCTGTGTGTGTGTGTTATAGACTGTTTCCATTTGCTGTTGCTTGCGAGTTTTTTGGCATCTTCATTAATGAAGCATGTCATTGTCCTCGCGTATTACAGTAAATTGTACAGAGAGCTAGCTAAGCTAGGCTTGTAGGATCAGAAAATATTGTTCTACCATGTGATGGAACATGAAGCTACAGAATACAGATTTACTTATTCCATCCATCTTGTTGGTTTCTCCTCTTTCTATCCTTTCTACTGGCTCTATGTCTGGAGATGGAATAAATGTGTGAGACGACTCACTCACTAGTCACTATGCATGACAAAATACATACGTTGATTGATAAAAGTTTTACTACATTCACTCTCTATTTTTACTTTTTAGTGTGTCAATGAATGATTAGTTGTCTTCATCTCATGAGTCTCAAAAAAAATGTCAATATTAAAATTTGGTAAGAAGAAATAAAAGTTAGGAGTATAATTTGAAAGTAAAAATGATATTTTTCATTTGATAATCGTACACTTGAGAGTGCTGCAGTACAGTGCATGATTATATGTTAGAATATTGAGACTAGTAGCAGACCGGCTAGCCGTCAAGATTGCAAAAGGCGCTAGGTAGGCGTTGCTGCCCAGATGACTTAGTAATTTAAAGAAATATAATAATAATAATAATAATAATAATAATAATAATAATAATAATAATAATAATAATAATAATAATAATTCTTTATATAATAAAGCTATATGGTTTGAGAAATAATTAATGTTACAATTAATGCCACAACATCCTTTATTATAAAAAAAAAAAAAAGCACAACATTTAAAAAATAAAATAGCTATATATTATATAATCATATAAAAAATATACTTTTGAAAAATAAAATAGCTATATATTATATAATCATATAAAAATGTG